GAGAGGGTTAGAGCAGAGCAGGAACAAGGGGTTCCAGAACTGGCCATCCCGAGGCCACTATGATCTGGGGGGCAACCCCGGAGAGCTGACCTCCCGGGAAAGAGGCCCCGAGGTGTTTCTGCACTTAACTCTGAGCCGCAGGACCCATCTAGAGCTGAAGATATGGGGCAAGAACTATATCTGGTGGAGGAAAGGGAAATAGGGGGATCCCCTTCACCCCCCAGTTCTAGACTAAGACATGTACTTTGAACTTGACGGACTGCCTTGGGGTTTTCCAGCTCCCGAGGCCTTGCCGCCCCGGCCGTGGACTGGGGTGAGCTGGGTTATATTCTGTGGCTGGGCGCCAGCCACTGACACACCCTCCTGGGAACGAGCTTGGGCCCGGGGTGGTTCTGGTTAGACGTGTTATGATGGGTCCAGAAGGAAAGGGCTGCTTGCCACGGCCCCTGCCCTGGCCCGATGCTGGGCCGAGATTTAGACGGGTTACCTACACCCTCCCCCCTTGGCCCTGCCGGGGGGGCAGCCTCATCCGTTCACTCACTCAACCGATGGGTCTGGACGGAGCTTCCAGGCCGTATCTGAGGCGCTACAGGCATCTAACTGGGCTATAGCAACAGCTGAGTCCGACAGTCTGCCCCAGGCGGCTTGGATTCTACTGGGATGTTTTTGCTTCCAGTTTTCAGAGGGGGAAACTGAGGTCTGAAGAGTTCGGGAAAGCCGCCCTGCTCACCCTGCTGGCCCAGGCAGAGCCCGAAGAGGAGCTGAGTCATGGTGGCTCCAGCCCATCCTGCACACCCAGACCCCCCGAGGCCCTGGGAATCTTCCCTGGCACGCACACACTTTGCCCGCCGCGTCCGTGTAAAAGGCACTCTCGACGCAGGTGGCCCGGGGCTCGCTGATTCAGCGTGACTGTGCGGGGAGCTCCCTCCTGGCTCGCGGGAGGCAGCGTCCCGGCCGGGCCAGGGCTGGGCCTGTACACGGACATCGCCCCGGAGCAAGCGGCAGGCGAGTGGGCGGCAGAAGTCGGGGCCTCCCTCGGGTGTTTATAGGCTCGGGGTGAAGCCAGGGGAACGCAGGAGCTGCCCTGTCCTCGAGGCCCGATTCCCAGTGCCCCTGCTCCTGCGCCCTGCTTCCAGCCCGGCCCTGGGATCCGGCCTGGGAGATTCGCCCGGAGGTACGGCTTCGCCGGGGACTGACCCACTTGTTCCTTCGTCGATACAGACAAGAGTTCTTCTGAACCAGGTAATTACGGAGTGGGGGTGCTGTGCTTGTGAGTGCCTCAGGCAGCGGCAATTTTTTAAAATTGACTTTTAGAGAGAGAGGAAGGGAGAGGGAGAGAGAAACATCGATGTGGGAGCGAAACATCGATCGGCTGCCTCCCCCTACCCGGGACTGAACCCGCAACCCGGGCATAGATAGTGAGTTTTTAAGTGTGCCAGCTCACAGTCCCACAGCCCCATATATGGCACCCACTCTGTTCTGGGGGTGTCCAGAGAACACGTTGGATGGGAAATGCGGGGAGAAGTCTCGGATCAGCCAGTTCAAGAAAACCCTCATCCTGTCCTCAAGTTATTGCTGGTCTGAGCTTCCAGAAGGTTGCTCAGGGTCCTGTCCTGGCGTGGGGGTTGGCAGAGCTCCTCTCAGCTTGGGGTGGGAACCCCAGCGCAGTCCCAGGCCAAGCTGCCTTGTTGAGCCCACTGGAGATGGGGTTTCCTCGGCCTTGGGCTCGCTGGCCCACACTCTTGCTTTGCTGGAGCTGATGGCAGACCACGTGCGGGCCCTTCTCTGCTCTTTGGAGAGACGGTGTCATTTCAACGTGGTAGCCAACAGGCCAGCCTTCCACCCAAAATGGTCCCCAAGAACAAGGGCTTTTCCTCTGGGAAAATCTGCAAAGTACGCCTCGATTTCTCGCTCCCCGGGAGCGCCGGCTCTCACTGGTCGCTATGGGCTCCTGGAGGGCAGGGACCGGGCTCGCGTGTTTACCTGGCTCCTGGCACATGGAAGGTGCCCAGTACAGATTTGTGAGTTGGCAAAGGCTCCTCCTGAAGTGGGCGAGGGAATGCCGGCAGCCAGCATGCTCCCAGCAGGAGAGAGGAGGGGGGCAGGGCCGGGCCCCCCACCGCCTGCTGTTGGTTAGGAAGCTTCCAGGCCTCAGGGTCCCAGCCGTGTCCGTGGCAGGAGATCCCAGTGGTTAGGGGCGTGTGTTCTGAAATGAGGCTGATCAGGCTCATATCCACCCACCTTAATCCACCCACCTTCACGGACTCGAGGAAGTCATCCACCGGCTCCCTGACTCACTTCTCGGTTTCCCCACATCTGAGATGGGCGTGCGAGAGCCGGCCTCCTGGGCTGGGTGGGGAAAAGTGAGCTGCCTTGTGTAAGACGCTGCTTCGCTCTGGCCTTGGCGCCGGCAAGACCACTAGCCATGTCGGCCACAGGTAGCCTTCGGTGGGACCATCTGAAATCGCCACTATTCAGTATTTTTGACCTACCAAACGGCAGTTTCTCACGGTGCAAGCTGACCTCGTCACCTCTCTGGTAGCCTGTGGGCTGCAGTGTGGGACTGGGTTGTGCCAGGGCCCCTGCCCAGCCTCCCCCGCGGAGTCAGGGCCTAGGTCAGCGCCTGCTGGAGGTGGAGGGGCCTTCACGGTCACCTCCTCCAGCCCCCTTCTTGCCACGTGGGTAGATGGAACCCAGGGAGGAAGGTTCTTGCCCAAAGATATACAACCTGTTGGGCATGAACCTGGGCCTAGAATTGGATTCTTAAGTCAGCTCTTTCCACCACCTCAGCCGGAAGCTGCTGCCACATGCGGAGCTGCGGCTGGGCCACGTGGGCCAGCCCCCTGCACACAGTGAAGGCATCCATGGGAGTGTGAACAGGTGCAGGAAGGTGGCACCTCCCAGAACTGCCCTGAGAGGCAGACTGGGGGCGTTGGGAGAGTCTGTAGTCCCAGCTCTGACACTGAAGGGCTGGGTGGGCTCAGTTTCCTCATCTGTACAATGGGCAATGATAGCATCAGCTTCATGGGGGTGTTAAGGGGATTGGATGAGTATGTATTTGTGAATCGTATTGTAAATAATACAATTTGTAATTATAACTTCCAAATTTTTAAAAATATTATAGAACCCAGCACTTAAAGAGTGCCCAGCATTTGGTAAGGGCCACTGTGTGTTTGTTGTTATTTTATGAAGACATTTGGGGATTGGTATTGCCAGTGGGTGTGTGAGTTTGAGCCGGTGCTGAGTTACTGAATCTAGAGAACTCTCTAGAACGGACCCCAAGGTTCCCTTTTCCTCCATCCCATCCCCTCCTTTGTGGCTCTAAATACTCAAGGGACAAGTACTTAGATTAGCTGCCTGTGGGGCCTGGGGTTAGTGAGTCTCATTCAGAAAGCATCCCAAGTTCCTAGCACAATGAAAGGCTTAAGGCAGAAACAAAATGAACCTTTGCTGTATGAATGAATACATTTGTCCCCACCCTTAGGGATCCGAGTCTGAAGGAGGAATCTGGAAAACAGTCAGAGCTGCTCTGGAAATCTATTCAGAATATTTCCTCCCTAATTTGCCCTCCAGATCATATGAATTCTCCTGTTTTTTCTAAGAGTTAGGCTCCCCTCTCCGGCTTTTATTTTATCTCACCTGGAAAATTGCAGCAGACTCGCCTTCTGCTCCCTGTGCCCTGAAGCCAAAAGAGGGACTTCCTAAAAAACAAGCCAGGTTAGATCCCTGCCTTGCCCAAGCACCTCTGAAATCTTGCCTTTGCCTCCAGGTGAAAATGCAGCTCCCAAGGGCCAATAGGCACATGCAAACATGCGCCACATCACTGTTTTTTTATTTGCCCTTATTACTTTTATTTTGTTATATTGTCCTAATGATAAATATTCGTAACCAATTGAATGAAATACTGATAGATTACATTTATTTCTCAAACACGTTAAATAAGTTTTAAATAGAAAATGATGTTCACCTTAGGAAAAAATGCAAGCAGTAGGAACAGAGACAGAGAGGAGAGGCCATGTGTCTCCTAGGGCAGCCGCAGCTGACCCCCGGAGCCCTGGACCTGCGCCGGCCCTCAGAGCACCCAGATAGGTCAAGGGGCCAGGTCTTAAGTTCTAGGCAGGCCAGCCTCAGATGCAGCCCCTCCTGGGGATGACCAGGAGGAGGTCCTTTTAAACTGACAGCGATCTCATCCCTCCTGCTCAGCTGAGGGCCTTCTGCTGTGCAGCCAGCACTCCCAGCAGCTGGGGCTATGTCCCCCTGAAGGGGACCCCAGGCGGCCCAGCATGGTGACTGTCACACACAGTCACCAAGTTATCTCTGGCCCCCCCTACCTTTTTTGGCCAAATGCTTATTTAAAAAATTGTGTGTGTGTGTGTACCTCTGGAGGAGCCTCGCAGCCCGAGTGAGCTGCCAGGAGCCTCTCTCTTCCATTCCAGAGGGGCTCCTCCCTGCCCCGGGGGTGGACCCCACACACTGGGGGCGCCTGGGAACTCAGCCTCCGGCGGCCTGGAGCATGCCCGCAGAATCAAGGCCCTTCCCCTTTCCTTTTTTCTAAGGTGACTTTCCAGGGCTGCAGTTATAAAAAGCTCCTATGTGTCCTCTGGCAGTGGGACAGCTGCAGAATGCCACTTGGCCAGCATTCCTGCCCAGCCCAAGGCTTGGCATGTGATTGGCAAAAGCAGTTGGAGGTTATCGCAGATTTGTCCTAATGAGGATTGTTAACTTATAATAAAAATTCAACACGAAATATGCTTTTCCAAATACCCCTTCCCCAAAGTGTCAGACAGACGCTGCCAGACCTCATGGCAGGCACGAGCGGAATCGGTAGATGGGATCTTGGGAGGTAATAAAGAGGCTGAACCCCATGGGGAAGGACAGGCCCCCAGCCTCAGTTGGCTCGCCTGTGGAGTGGGCACCCCCTGCCTGGAGGATCGCTCGGCGCCATCTCAGGATGTGACTTCAGGGGACTCACCTTCTCTGTCTGCGCCCCCCCAGGCCCCATGGCATCCCTCCCCGTCCTGCAGAGGGAGACACTGTTCCAGGCGGGAGCCCAGACCTACAGAATCCCCGCCCTGCTCTTCCTGCCGCAGCAGAAGGTCCTGCTGGCCTTCGCCGAGAAGCGCACGAGCAAGACCGACGAGCACGCGGAGCTAATTGTCCTGCGCAGGGGCAGCTACAGCGCGTCCGCCCACCAGGTCCAGGTGAGGCAGGAGGGAATTCAGGGACACCCCCCCCCCCC